GTCAGCACCTTTACTAATGCATAGAGAAGAGTATGGAGAATATGCAGACTGATGTTAGGGTGCAAAGGGTTACTAACCAATCATGTTTACTGTCACTACAAGACAAAACTGATAAACATTTTACACACCTTGTTATCACCAGTAATGACAATAACCCTGATTCCTGCAGCACCACATTTCTTGATGGAGTCTTTCACCTCTGTTCTTGGTGGATCCAACATGCCTGCCACACCCACAAAGGTCATGTTGCTCTGAAAACAAGAAAGGTTTATGATATATGATTAAAAAACCATCCTTGCTCCATTGTTAAAATCTTGACCTTTCTGAGTATGGCAGTCTTAGTCAGAATGGCAGGTGGGAATTTCACTTATTTAAGACAAGTGAAGGGGAATCCACACAATCATCACAAGACTCTGCCATTGTCCTATGTGTCACAGGCCCCTTTTCAACTCTTTCACTCACAAGATCTCCTTAGTAATTCTCCTTACTGTCTGCCATACAATTCTTATGATGTCAGTTGAGAGAATTTGGAGCTGGAACAACTAATAATTCCCCAACTGATATTTTTTCTTTACTCATCACTTTTCTGCTTGATACTGTATTGATATGGTAAGGAGAATTCTCTCTTGGTCACTCATAGGAGTCAAAGGGTTAAACAAGTTTACAGCTGAACTGGACCAGCCTGGTTAAATTTTGTTTATAAATAAATAAATAAATAATTAAATAATGTACTGAGGTAGTGCATCAAACTTAGATACTCTCAAACAACTAAACATGAAATATGTCTAGGAAATTTGTTGTTCTGTGACCAATCACAAAGGAGATCAGGACACAGAAATGAAAAAAACATAAACACATTTGTCTTGGCTGATTCATGCATTCACACTTCAGAATATTTCACACATTCACGATTTACTGAGATTTACAATAAAACATTAACCTCGTAATCTGCAAACTTTTCAGCTTTTTCCAGTTCCATTTTGCTGGGTGAAAGGGGCTCATCAACTGTAGCCAGTGCAAGGCAACGGAGAGTGTCTACACCTGGAGGAACGTTATCAATGAAAAGTGATGATAAATAACTGAGCTACCAAAAAAAAATTTCGACTGACATTTCTCAAACTACAGATGCGTATGTGGCCTACATAAAATAGAAATTTGACGATGGAAATGCCATAAGGTGGCTCTTGTTATCTATTATTTCCAGGTTCAATTGGAAATTGTAATTTTGATTTTTGAGGAGGGAGGAAAACTGGAGAACCCAGAAAAAAAAAAACTCTTGGAGCAAGGAGGAGAACCAACAACAAACTCAACCCAGAGGTGACACCAGATCCAGAAATCAAACCCAGGCCACAGTGACGCAAGGTGGGTGCTCTCGTCACTTCTCCATCCCTGCTCTCCTCACATGATGATCAAGCATTCAAAACTAACCTGTTCCATAACTTTTCACCAAGTCCAGAATTTGCTGTTTAGTTTTTGGTGTCAGTGGTTGTGTCTTGCTACCAACTCTGATGAAGCCGCATCTCTCTATTATGCCTTCAGGTGCTCCCTATTCACAAATAAAACATGACCAAGTAAAATTTAATTTCTAGGGAAACATAAAGCAAACTAACAAAAGTGAGCAAGGTTTATTAATTTATTTTTACCTTGACAAACATCTTTGGATTCTTATCATGTACAGAGTTTGGTCCATCCATTCTAGGAGTGCAATACACACTCATTGACTTTCTGTCGCGAGAGAACTCCAAGGTAAATTCCTGCAAAAGTAATCAATGATACAAACACCTTAACACTATAATTCCCAAGATCATAAGATTCAGCTCTAAGAACTTAGCAGTAGTCAGCCATGTTATGGCTATAAATGAGTTTGTCATCCATTAAGTTGTCAGTTTTCACATCAGAAACAGAGGTCCCTGTAGGTTCCAAACAGACATTTCATGATTTTAACATGACACAACTCTTAGTTGTTACCAGGCCAAGCGAGTGATCTTGTTCAGCCATGTGTATGATGAATTTTGTTCTGAAGATTGTGAATGTGAATCGTTTTCATCCTATCAATTTCGACGAACATTTTCCAGTTATTTTGAGAAGGAATCCTCACATTGTTTGTAAGAGTTCGACATTTCGATTTATTTGAGCTTTGTATACTTTTATTTTGCTTTATTTTGCTTCGCATTTGCAAGTTACAATTGTGTAATTCTACTTTCAGAAACATATTTATATGCAGTTTATTTGATGAACCTGGATTAAAAGACTCTAAAATTAACCGATCAATTCAGCGGCTACACCTGGCAGTATAAAAAAGTCATTACAACTCAAAGTTACCTGTATAGGCAGAGTAGTCTTAAATATGACGAGAAACTTAAATTTTGGCTTGATTCAGTTCATTCACAAGCAACCAAGGACTGTTTGTTAGACTATAATGACAGTAGAATGTATTACCTTATTAAAATGAGACTTGATCACATCATTACAAGCATTAGCCAGTTCGGCTTTGGATTTTCCAGCCAGATTTGTACCAAAAACATTGAGTTTCTCCACTAAAACTGTCACAGCAGTTTCTGTAGATTCACCAACCTTCTCATAGGCATTTTTTACCTGAGAACAAATAATAAAACAGGTTAGGTTACCATTTAATTACAAATGTAGTAGACAATTGAGAAACAGCACTGGTGTTTAAGGCTATCTTTCAAGTTGGTTTACAGGTGACAAAAAGACTAAATTATTGCCCAAAGTTTGAAATCAGGAGGCACTGGATCAGTTCATAAAAAGTTATAATCAAAGAGATGATCTCAGGTGAAACACGGAATAACATCATTTCCAGTGGTGCGTTAACCCTTTACCAGGGCTGTGGTCTAGCAGTGCCCAGTGGCCCCTGGCACCTTACTCTTGCTCTTAGGTGACTTGGAAATTTTAGTTTTTTCATATAAAAACATGCTGGGCACCCTGCATTTCAAAGTTTCAGAATGCTGGGCTCCCTTCAGTTTTTCTTAGAGCACAGCCTTGTTTACAATCTAACATCATTATACGTTTTCTCCTTACCCTTCTTTAACATTTCCTGAGGTGCTGGCAAGGATAATTTGTTAAACAATCAAGAGCTACCTTAGATGATGATCAGCTCCTATATGCTTGTGACCTCAATGTGCGATTTAGGGGTGAAGGGGAAAATCAGAGCCAGTCACTCTTTGGGGTTGAAGAGTGAATTTACAATTAAAACCTCATTAAAACTGTCATGCACTTACTGAATTGTAGTCTACACTGGAATCATTACACATGGCACAAATAGTGGCCAACTCTGGAAGCGCTTCATAGTGTTGCGGATCAACTTTCTGTCCATTTAAAGTTCTAGAATCATAAATTTAGATATCAATAAAGTAACTTCAACCACTCAACATCAATGAAGCATCTTAAATTATTATAACATATGGGTATTACACTTCAACCCCGTTGCTATAGATTGACACTTCGCACCCTAGCATTAGTATGCATCTTCTCTACATTGTTATCTATACATTTCCTACAGCCACCACAAGGATAATTTGTTAGACAATGCAGGAGCTTTTCTTAAAATTTCTGATCATTTCCATTATTCTCATAACCTTTACATTTATATTTAAGGGTGATATTGTTGGGAGAAATTAAAAGCCAATCCCTCTTAGGGTTTAAGGGTCAACTTAATTAAGATGTCAAATACAGTTGCACGTTGAATGAAGATGGATGAAACCTTTCTAAAAGACGTTGAAAGATGCATTCTGATGCTGTGAAACATTTGTTTTAAGGTGTTAACAATCCAGTGGGTTCAAAGAAAAGACTTACATAGCACAGCAGTCCTAAAAAGGTATCTAATGATTGAAAGAAAAGAAAAAAACTTACATATCTCCACTGGGTGTATAGGTAGTTCCTTCAACTTCAAATTCATGGAATGTGGCATGTTCCCTTCTTACATCACTCAGAATAAAGAACTAAACAAAATACATGTTGGGAGTTATGTCAAAAACAAAGATTCTTACAAAGAGTAGTTAAATGGTCTAGCCTGCCACAAACAGGCTACCTTGGTGGTAGGACATTCAAAGTACTAATCAGAGGGTTTTAGGTTTGACTCCTACTGAGAACAATTGGAGCTTTTTTTCCTCTGAGTGTACCTATCATTTATTGAATGACAACATCTTTCACCACATAAAATAACTCATTGTGAAGAGTTCAGCTCTAACTCATTCTGATTCATAATTAAAACCAGTCACCATAGTCCAAAATAACAAACAAATTCTTTCTTTGTTACCTTGTGGACAGACATTTGATTTGTGGTCAATGTCCCTGTTTTGTCTGAACAAATGACTGATGTACAACCAAGTGTCTCAACAGAAGGAAGACTACGAACAATGGCATTTTTCTTGGCCATTCTGTGTGTACCTGAACCAGATAAAATGTAACATTACAACCATTGCATATGACTTCATTGCAGTTGTGTGTCTGCTGAATCACCATTACAAAAAAAACCAAATCACATAAAATTTCCTCACCAAGTGCTAAGCATGTGGTTATAACAGCTGGGAGTCCCTCAGGGATTGCTGCAACAGCTAAAGCAACTGCAATCTTAAAGTAATAAATGGCTCCCTAATAAAACAAAAACAACAACAAAAATAAACAAGCACGCTAGAAATTCCAATGTTCTATCTCTCACGACAGTTCATTGATTCATCAGTCAAAACTTGTAAAAAATTCTATACACAGAAAAGATTTAGATTTAAATTTGATGCAACATCTTGCACTAATATAAACAGGGTATAAATCACCAAAAATACAGCTTAAGACCCTATATATAAGACAGTTTAGATAATCAATTGCTTTAAAAAAAATTCTTGTGACTATCAGCTTGAAAAACAATTCACCTTGCACCTTCCTATGGCAATAAGACTCTGCAATTTTTCAGCCCCCAAGTACTACACATACATTCAACATTCTGCAATAATTTAAGTACAATTGGTAAAAGAAATTTTCAACCTATTAGTGCAATCATTTTCATAAATTCCAAGAAGTACTTTAGGCATTTAATTTTACCAGTTACTGACTGAAAAGCAGAACATTGTACATACTTCTACACCCATGTGACTCTGATAATTTTAATAAAAAACCCCTCACCTTCAACCAGGATCCCCCATGAACTGGATCACTGAAGTGACCAATATTAATGGCCCATACTGCAATACAAATAACTGTGATTACCTTAAATGGATGGGAGAGAAAAGGAGAAAACACTGGTGTTATGAGATAATCAAGTGCTAGGTCCACTTCTGGAACTATTGAAATTTAGCGTTGAAAATAAGAAATAAAGCTTCATTATTTGAGAAGGTTTACTAAAATCTAAACTAAAAAAAAAAAAAAAAAAAAAGAAATGGAAAAATAGGCATGGACACCATACTTTGGATAACTGTTGAGCAAATTCATCAAGTTTCTGTTGTAATGGAGTTTTCTCTTCATCTGTATCAACCATTTCATCTCTAATCTTGCCTAAAAATTACACAAAATCAATGTCATTCATTAGTAAAAGTAAAACAGTTCTAAACAATTATCAAAAGTAAGATGCGTTTACCAATTTGTGTGTTCAGCCCTGTTCCGATGACAACCCCTGATGCTTTTCCAGCAGCAATGTTTGTCCCCTAAAAAAATTGCATACAGGTAAAAACTCAAAGAAAAGATCAAGGTTAATTTGACTTTATGTTACACAACACAAATTATAAAGTAACTGAAATACTATGAGCAACTTGATTAGTAAAAAACCTATAGTTTATTACACTCAGTCTGGTAAAACCATAGAAAATTGAAGATTTATTTCATAAAAGCAACAGACTACACTTTTCATCAGTTTACCAGTGTAATAACTCACACAACCCCTGTTGGAAGAACACTTGAAAAGTTTAAGCTGGAATCGGAGGCAAGTGATTTACAAACTTTTTTAATGTTCCTCCTACACCCTGCATTGGTTATTATACAGGTAAAGTGATGGAAAGTGCAGTCTATTGCTCAACTTCAAGGGACCTCTTCTAATAAACTGAAATACCATGACAAAGTTGTAGAAGAGAAGATACCAAACCACAATATTCTAAAAAGTGAAAGGGTGCCATCAATTGCCTGCCTTTCAATCCCCAATTTTCCTATGGCAACAACTGTGTGTGTGAGGGCAAGAGCTATACCTGATTTTTTTCAGAGCACAAGAGTTGTAAAATCAATTATGTTACCTTTCCTTTAATACACTCAATATGGTTGATCAATTTAGTGGACATCATTTCACTTTCTGGCTCCACGAAATTTGATAATTTGCAGGGTTCAATGCTAAATTTTCAACTTACTACCAAAGTGGCTACTGACAACTTACATGTTATGACAATTTCAGTTTGCTTACTAGCCAAACTGGCTTGTGGAAATCCAAAACCACTAACCAAAACTGAATTTCTACTAGTCAGTGGCTAGTTGGCTACCATTTATGTCCAGCCCTTCCCTACTGTTAGTTACAGAAACTTGCTGACACTCAGATTTATGGCTTTCAGCTTGGGCCAAAAATCCAAGTGGAAAAAAAGTTGGTCCATAACTTACAGTACAGACCTTTGACTTGGTCAGTAAGAGGTAAAAAGGTACTTACTGAAAACAACATATTTGTCTTGTCTTGATTGACAGCTTTTGGATCGGGAATGGGATCCGTGTGTTTTATCACACTAACACTTTCACCTAATGAGAAAAATATTGAAACTGAGTCACTCACAACTACAAGAAAAACAACCATGTAACCAGTAGAAAATTTTTGACATCCAGGTTTCAAGAACTAGTTCAAAACCATGTGATAACACTGTGTGAAAGGATTAACATTTTTCATAGGCTTTCCAAATGCTTTTCAACTGCCTTCCACATGCATGTGAAATTAACCTGTGAAATTAGTACGAAAATCATAGCACAACTGTGCCTAGATTTTACTGCTCAGAGTGCAAGCATATATGCATCTAGATTATCCTAAATTTCCAAACAATCTTGATGTCAGCAGGCAAGTCAGAAATTTAAAGAATGCTTTGTTAATCAACTGAAGATGACAGAGGTTTCTGTCGAAACATGTTTTTTAAACTCAAAAGTTTTGTCGTTTTCTTTAAATATCCTAAATTTCCTTTTAACCTACAACAATTACAAATTTTTTAAAAGAAACACAGCAAAGAGAAGACATAGACAAGTCTATAACCATCAATTTCTAACTGAGATGTACTTACACTAAAGGATAGAACCCCATGACCCCTAACTATTATAATATTTACATGTATCATCAACTTTTTCAAAAACCTTACCTGTTAGAATTGATTGATCCACTCTAAGAGTTGTAGATTTTATTGAAGTTATCCTTATATCAGCAGGAACTTTGTCCCCAACTGGTAACAAAAAGATTGAACCCAATAAGTCATTACACAAACATCTCCACTACTGAGTTACATTTTGCAGAATATATCACATAAGGAGCATTATCAATGATTGATGGTAAAAAAAATTCCAGAAAAAATGAAATACTTCACTATTAAAGCTAACAGATAAATAAAGGTTTCAATAAGTTACAAAATACACAGCAAAAACTGCAAAGTTCTTAATGCAACTCCTGGATGTATCCTGCAGCATATGGTGATCTCAATAGTGACTACTCCAACTTTGTATTCAATAAAGTAAAAAGATCTTGCAATATTGATAACCTTTACAACTTTGTTTCAAATTTTATTTTGATGATTCAAAAGCTTTGGTAGTACACTCCTAAAATGATCCCACATAATATTTAAATGCCCTCTGATTATCACTTTTAGGGAAGAAATCCAAAGACATACAGATTAAAAAAAAAAATTTATCCAGCATAGTTTCAACAGAACTTCTACAATACAATACAATACAATACAATACAATGTTCTTTATTTTGAGAGGGTAAATACATGATTAACCCAGTAAAGAGTTTTCTAACACACTACCCTCTGTAAACCCACCCATCCCACCCAGGGGAGGACATCCATCACACAGTAATCTCGTGTGTGGGAAATTAACATCTCCTACCCCAACCCTGCAGGAGACGGGACCTCCATTTATTCATCCCTATCCGAGAAGACTAGAAAATCTAACCATTTCTTGATGTTATAGAAAGGTAGCAGCAAATTCTTCTCAATTATTTTAAGACCGCGAGTGTTGGTCCGAACAACTTGGTCCAACTGGGTTTATATTTAAACAAAGGTGTCTGATCATTCTACAAATTCTCCTTGATTGAGACACTATTTACAAATAGAACCTTTCCTAGAATGATGTCATAAAAAAGTGATTCAAAAAGGCTAAATTTCCTACATCCCCTCGTTGCATCTCCTTGGAAAAGTCTGGTACATATTCATTATATTTGGAAACAAAAATCTTGGATAGATAGCACTAGTTTTTCCACAAATAGATCATAAGAAACAGAGCTACATGAGAGACTCTGTCGCGTTTAGAGGCTCCGTCCTGTGGAATGCAGTGACCAACAATTGTAGTGCCCTGACAAAAATATTTCATACCGTGACCTCGGGCTAAAGCTCTAGTTAATTTTAATGAATTCAGTTTTAAGATAACTTCTGCATCCACTTGTAATTTTAAAAAAGATGACTTTGTATATATTTAAATTTATGTTTACAATTCCACATTCATAAGCACCACTGTTTTAAGTTTAGATGTTCTTTACGTACCCCTAGGTTTTAGTTTTTAGTACATTTAGCAATTAGCTCATTGCAAACGATCCCACAAGCTCATGTACCTTTAACACTCATCGTTTTAAAATAAAGGCTATCTATTTATCTACCTAGAGCTCACAAGAGTAAATTCTGATCCAATCTAGAGGAGCAGGCTGGATTTTAGACTGCTCTCTGAGCCTGAGGGCTATTTTCTGAGTCATATAGATTTACTAGCTTAAATGCAACATAAAGTACTCCTCTACTGCTAATTTAGCTTCCTATTTACCAATTAAACCACATGCAATCACACAATACATGCTTCAAGGCCCAAACTGATAGAAACACAAAAATAGAACCCAGCTGGCTTAAAACATTATCCAAGCAAAACAAACACAAATGAATCATCAATTCACAGGCGTGATCTTTTATTCTTAACCATTTGAACCAGTCCTACAGTCTCCTTTAAAGCGTTCTAAAATTAAAACTGCCTGGCATATTTTTAGGCAGTCATTAAAAATTTTAATTACCATAAAGAACTTCCTACAGATGATGAAAAAAAGGGACATCCTTTTAACAGCAATTTCAACATTTTGTGAGAATTTTGAAAAACAAGACTTTGGCTGATGTGTTTGTTAATTTTCTAGCAGAACTGGCTTGGAAAAAATAGTGGTTCACTTCATCAGTTCGATGAAAATTCACTGGTAAACAACACAAGGGTCTCCAGAGACTTCTGCTCACAAAGAGCTTGTTAAAAGCTGGTGATAATTTTTCATCTGTCTGATATTAAGAAAATTCAGTGTTTTTTCTTGGTCATTTGCAAAGCCAGAAAAAGAAATTTTAAAGCTTTCCTGGTGATAACTAAACCAATACTTTTCATTCAGTAAAATTAAAAGAGAGATCAAATAAAAATAAGAAAACAAGTAGAAAGCTAGTACTGCACAACTTTAATTGCTTTTTCACACATAATAAAACCTTCTATACAGAAAATTAATAAGATCTTTAAAAAACAGTCCGAAATGGAGACAGCTTCCAAACTATCCCTGACAATTTCAAATGAAAGCTTTAATCAGTGGACTCTCTTTGAAATACTTCCAACAGAATAGGCCAACCAAGGAATTTTTGTTGTCAAACACAGCTAGAAGGATAAACCAACTACTTTGAAATCCACAATCACCAAGTGGATTACAATCACGACAATTTCAGCTGTCAAAATTGCCATAAACTGCCCCCATTTTCTTTAAAACTTCCTGGGCTCCTGAACTACATACAATAAAGGAAATTTCTTGACTCTTTAACCCAGAATAAAACTACATTAATTTTGCATGTTGTTACAAAATGTATGATCCCACTTAACGATTTAAGGTTTTTAAGAATCTTATGCTTCAAGAACCACAACACAAGTTTGCAATATACATTTTACACTCTTATGACTAGCAATTAATCTTTCCTGGATTTAAAACTCTGGTAGTTTTGGGATTACATTCCCTACTGTTTGGAGATGAGAAAGCAAACAAGAAGAAATAAGACATTCCCCTTCTTATTTCAAGTTAACATTACTACTGTTTGCTAAGGGCGAGAAAATGCAATCTGGTTTTCGTGGGAGTGGATGTAAACACTTCGCCGTGGTGAACACTAATTTGATTTTGCTGTTAGAAATCACGGTCACCCCAAGCGAGCGTAAAATAACTTGAGACTTGCATAATCCCTACGGTTTTTAACTCACCTGCAACCTCTACTATGTCTCCTGGAACCAAATCCCGAGCTTTTATTCTTTGAATTCCTGATTTGTTTTGCCTTAACACTTTAGCTACTTCAGGCTCGTACTCCTTTAAGGCTTCGATCGCGCTTTCGGCGTTTCTTTCCTAGCAAAAATCAACACAGGAACACGGACATTAATTTTCTGTCGGTCTCACTCATGTAAAATGGTTTCCCACCAAGACGCCGAAAAGAATAATTTAGAATCAGTACTTACTTGCCATACTCCTATAATTGCGTTTAAAATCAAAATAACAAGGATAACGAATGGTTCTACAAATGCTGTAGTTCTTTCTTCTCCTTCTTCGAATAAAGCCAACGTCTGGAAACCAAAAATATAATAAAATTATGGTGAACTCCATGTATGATGCGAAGCTCGTCAAATTATTCTAACAGGAACACGAAGTGTTTGCACTGAGCAAATAAACTTACAAAAGAAATCACTGCAGCTCCAAGAAGAATCTTTACGAGTAAATCATCGAACTGTTCTAATACAAGCTTCCATAAAGGCTTGCCTGAAAAATAAAAGTACCATGTGTTGAGAACAGCTGATCTCGTAACACGAATGCAGATGCAAACTCGAACTCAAAGCAAAGAGAGAAATAATCTTGATTGTGCTTTCAAAAACGCATTCCTACCTTCTTCGGCTGGGAGTTCTGTTTAATGAACCAAAAAAGAAACAATAAAAAAATACATTAGAACCCACTCACTGATCTTCAAATTAACCAGAGATTAGAACATCTAGCTCCTCAGATGGTAGTGCATGATCGAATATAAATCATACAAAAACTATCATATATTTGGATAAATATCATCAAAGGTGCAGCAAAATTGGTTAAATTGTTACAGCTGAACAATAGATTTTTTACCGTTTGGTCCGTATTTTTTCTGAGCGACAGTTAACTCCTCTAAGCTCAGACCCTCCGTTTCGTCAACCGAGAAGTGATCTAAAACTTCGGACGCCGGTAATGTGTGAGCAAGTTCCATTTTGTGCAGCAAGGAAACTATGCGAATTCAGCTGTTTCTTTCCGTTCCCAATAAAAAGTTGAAACTACTAGTGTTCTCTTCCCAGTCTACTGTTTAAATGTGGTGCATGCTAGAGAGAATTTTCTTTTAAGCTTCGACAATGTCGCAGAAAATTCGCCGCATCTCGTTCAATACGCGTGTGCTTCGGCAGAACATCCACGCGGCCTGGACGCGGCTCAATGCTATTGGCCAAAAATAAGTCACGTGACAACCCACCACGGCGAAAGTGCTGACTATTTCCGTTTTCATAAAAAAGATTCTAAATTCTGTAATGCGTCATCGCAGCAGCAAGGAAAAACTATCGTGGCGATCACTGATGCCTCGTTTGTTAGCTCGTATAAAAGTTGCATAAATTTTACTCTACTCGCTTTTCGAAAAGAATTGGGCCATCATCGAAGGAAATAAGCGTGGAACCTGAGTTCGAAGGGTAAATCGACCACCAAACTTCCGGTTCATCCCCGGGATTCAGACGAAAAAAAAGTTATTTTCCTCAAACTTACGATGAGAACAACTTTAATTGAGCGTTAATGTACTTCTTTATTAAGCTCTCGTATTATCTAATCAACAACTTGTCAAATAATACCAGCAGGAAAGGATGACTTAGATATAATTAAAATGGAATTAAAATGTTTCACCTGTTGCCAGAAATGTTTTCCGGGATTTGAAAGATGTTGCTAATTGGTATTGCGTTCAGGTGGCAGAGTTTTAATGCAAATAATCAACACAGACACCACTGTTTATGTACATTTTAGGGTACAAGTAAATTTACATAGAAGAGGTAAGTTTTCATCAAGCTTTAAGTTTTATTGAGACAGTTGGGAAATCCAGATATCTAGGTTTTATGGTAACATTGCCAGAAACTCGTTCCTTTTTCTTCCTCATAAAGATATAGATTAGTGGATCTCCTCGATTGAGCTTCGAAGCTTTTACTGAATTTTTTTCGATGCCGTGTCTATTCGCGGAAGGCATTTACCATACTCAAACGTGGAGTTTTTTTCAGCATGGTTTCTTTAATTACTGATGACACCTTTTTTAAGACACCTCCGAACAGTTAACAAAGAAGGAATACGTTTGAAGTTTCAAGAGCTCCCTTGTTTGCTGAGTAACAATCGTTGTGTAGCTTGCGATATTCATAATAAAGATAGCCTGGCTTGCCGTGTAGTGTTGTAACAATGCTTGTTAATTTTTTTTTTCCTTTATAATCACCGAAAGAACGCCACTTTCTTCCGATTGAAATTTGTTGATAATTTCGCTTCCTCTCTAAGTGGTTTAGTAAGGGGCCGGCCATTTAACTTTTGAGGGGGGGGGGGGGGTTATTTCTGGTCATCAAGAAATTTTTTTTCAAGTAATCTGCTGTGCAGGATATTTTTTTTCCTTTCTAAATGCTCTTTTTTTTTGGTTACATTTGCGCTGCATGCAATTTTTTTCTTCCAACAAGCACTTGCAGGAAATTTTTTTTCAAAATCACCCACCCCCACTCTTAAGAGTTAAATGGTCGGCCCCTAATATAAGTACACGTTACCTAACCCTTTGACCTCTAAAGAGTGACTAGCATCTAATATCCCCTTACAGCTTCTCCTTACAGTATCACCCCTGAATCAAACCTGAAGGTAATGAGAATAGAGGAAATGATCATTGAGTAAAGGTGCTTGTAGCGGCCGCCTTTACCGAATAATAAAGGGACGCGAGAAAACTGTAGTGAAGCAACCACAAGTCTAACAAATTCAGGCTGGTCCGTTTATGTAAGGCTTGATAGACGATAACTTGATTAACACAAACTAAAGATTAACAACAGTTCGATCGAAATTCAACCATACTGACCGTCAAAAGACTGTTAGGTTCCAACACAAAACATGAGCGTGTTCTTCCTTAAATTCTAGCTACATCAAGATTTTTGTCACGTTCCTGAAGCGGCTCTGAGTCCATGGTGCGAATCCAAAATACCCGCATAAAGAGTTCACGTGACGTAACAAAACTAAAGCTGAGAAGGCGTTACAATGCTCATGACTGTTTTACAAACTCTCCTTGATAGCACCCGAGTGAATGTGTACAAAACAGTATGGAGAATATGCATACCAATGTTAGGGTGTCAAGGGTTACTCTAGAGGTTGTCTGGCATTTTATTGCATTTCACTACAAACATGAGGCTTATTTTGTGCACCCCGTCAGTTCTAAAACCTCCAAATCTAGCAAAGCTCAGGTCCAAATCTAGCAAAGCTCAGGTCCTTGTTGAAACTCTATGCATCAAGGAAAAACTTAAGATCTTAGGTTTGGTTTTTTCAAAAATTTTATTGATTGTTGATTGTTACACCATTTAAACATCAGCAATGGTCACTTCAACTTCAACACCAGGCTCAATACTGATGGATGTCTGAATAATGATTGGTCAAAGAAAATATATCAATATCAGGCAAACATTTGATTGAAAATACATTACATATATCTTATTAACCAAGCATGAGGGCCCCACTGGGAGAATATCGGCCTGAGGTCTTGACAGTACGGACCGAGCGCAGCGAGGTTCATACAAAAAAGGACAGTGCAATACTGAGAGAATACTGACCAGCAATAGAGCAATTTGATTGCCTGATTTTAGTTATTGGCCCTCTGACTGCCCTCTGATTCGTGTAATAACGGTAAGGTATTACCCAGGGTTTCATTAGTAGCCAGCTACTAGAGGTCTAGCACTGCATTTAAGAGGTCTTACCACTGTCTGTTTAGCTCGTAAGATTACTCTTCAGTTTGGTATTCCCTTTACAGCCCCCTTTACAAGCACAGCCACCTATAAGGCCATCAGCAGCTACTAATAAAAAATACTTATTTAACCCTTCTCCTAACAATGCTTACACAATATCAAGAAGACAAGCAATAACTATGAAGAAAAAATATCAACTAGGGAATTATATTGGTTGATCAGATACCAAATTCTTCAAAGTAACATCATAACAATTGTATGAAAGAAAGTAGGGAGAGTTATAAATGAGATCTCAGGAATCGAAGGGTTAAGCCCCTGGGTAGTACCATCCAGTCATGAGAAGCATGTTGTGCTCACATTGATTAATGAAGACAAAGGCTAACAAAGAGATTGCTGCATTCCTCAAATGCATACAAACACAAGAATAAGTAGTACAGATATACCCAAACTAAACATAAGCACAACACTGCTTCTGCTATGATTGCACTTGATGATTGCACCTAATTTCAAACTTCATTTGTATCACTGATCTTATCTATGGAATTCATGCGGTTTTATCTATTTATTAATTTTTATATTGTGTGATTGTAAATTGTTTTGATAACAGAAGGTCCATATCAGCTATTTTTATTTGCCTTAATTTAACCTGCTATACCAAATAAAGTGTATGTATGAATAAATCAGCCCTTACACAAAACAATGTACATTCTGAGAAAGATTTCTTTTGTCTTATCATGAGTGTGGGACAAAGAAAAAATTCTTAGTCCTAATGAGGAATCAAACCTCAGACCTTCCATTACCCTGCTCTGATGCTCTACCACTGAGCCATGGAGACCCTATGGGGAGCAAGACCCATCAAAACAAAAATTACATCAACCTCATCTTCAAAAGAAAAAATAAAAAGGTTAAGGATACAATTTGCTTGACGATCTCCGATGGACTGTGAAGATCAATCAGTCGCTTATGGATCCTCATCTCGAACCTGTCCCAAGTCTTGGAACCCTCTCCACAAGGAGTCTTACGGGTAGTAATCTTCAGGTACTTTGTTGGCATTCTGACTGGACCCTTGACTTTCAGCTTCTTGTCCTTGGCTCCACGGATCAGATCAGCGCAAACTTAAGAAAAGTAGAGAAGCTTCAGATTAGAAACTAACAAACTAGAAGGTAAGAAGTTTTGTAGTGCATGATAAAAGATAAACTAAGAAGAATTAACCTTTTCACTGCCAAGATCTCATTAGAAATTCCCCTCACTGTCTATCATACAATTCTTATGATGTTAGTTATGGAACTAAAATAGCACCTTCTATATTTATTAACATTAATAACCTACTGTAAACTATTCATACTTTAATTTATTTTATTTCCTTCATTGTTACTCATAATCATATACTTGTTTGAACCAATTTCACTTTTCTAAATTAACAATATTGTAGTCTCCTTGTAATTTTTATTTCCAACCTCCTTGATATATTTTAATATTGTCTCCAACCACCTGACTTGATTAGCTTTGCTACATTTAGGTGGGTATTTCTTTAATTTTTTTGTATTTAATTACTTCTTCTTAAATAAATATATGATAAGTTTGGTAGAATATCATATATTGTAAGGAAAGATGGTGAAAGAAATAATGGACTAGGTTTGGAGAGTTTGGTATTGGATCAACTGACGACCCCATTAATTTATTCATATTTTTCTTTATTCTCATTACTTGTCTGCTTGATATTATATTGAAGATGCAAGGAGAAATTTTACCTTGGTCAATCATGGGTGTGAAAGGATAGAGATGGCTCATACTGCTTATATCTAAAATGTTCTCTATACTTTCCCCAAAATGAGCAAACGAGAGATGTGACAATGGATAGGTCAGGAGAAATTTTAAAAAGGCTTCTGAAGCAACTAATACTTGGGCACCATGAAAGCTTTTTTAACCCCCCCCCCCCTTCTACACCAAAAAAAAAAAAAATTTTTTTGGTCATATATTTTGGTTAAGTAGCATAGCAGTACAAAATAAACTTGTGCTTGAATGCCTGTGATGGTTTCAGTTTGAAATATTGTAGGATTTTCACCAAAAACTAAATGCACACTAAAAACATTTAACAGTAAAAAGGACCACAGTTCAGAAACATAATGATGACCAAAATTTTGACTCTTTGTAGGTTCTTCACAAGCCCCTTCCCACGGGGTTCTGAGAAATGAATAAACGGGGTAAGTTTCTAAAGAAACTATGGTACTGCGTCCATAAGGGTAACAAGGTAATTTGGTTATAACATTTTGAGCATTGGCCCTTTGTCAGATTTTTAAGAAATATATGTTTACTAGAATTTTAGAAAATACCATGGCAACCTTTAACCCTTCCTTCCCCAAACCAACACACCACAAGAAGGAGTTAACACTAGTACTCACCCTTTTCCAAACTTTTCACATTGCGACTGGTGAGAGTGATACGAATCCTGTGGATCTGAGCCTCTTCTTCTGGTACAGCACTTTTTTCCTTATAGAGAGACTAAAGGGTGAAAACAAAATCAAAACTCTAGCTTACTACATCCAATTTGTGGTTTGCTACCTTGCCTCCTAAACATTTCATTGTAAATTATTCCCTGAAGTGAAAGGCTTGTCATTACTGATAACCTGTTTCTAGGATAACACGTTGAAAAATAGGACAGAGAAATTGCATGTTATTAATTTCAGAAAGTTTAAGTATTAAAATATCGGTGATATTTCATTGTATCAAAGGCATCCCAATTCTGTGACTTAAAAGGGGAAAAGGAAGTTGATTTAAAGAACCAAAGTTTGAAAAATCAAGGGTTAGTTTCAAAGGTTTCAGAAGCAAAGCGAATTTAATTTTGGCCTGAATAATGGAGAATTTCAGCAGATGATTCAAGATATTCAAAACATTTATAGTACACGTCTTTCATGACTGTTTCTTCACAACTTGGGGAAAGATTTGCCATCTTACACTTTAATTCAAAAAGGTTATGATTTCGTTTAAGAGTTGTCCCCTTGATCCAAGCAAACTTATTGTGTACATCCAAATTTAAAATAAAATTTTTTCAGCTGATATGATAGTGTATATCAATGACTGATGGTTTAAAGTTCTCATTTCGCGAGCAGATCTTATAAGGTGACACTTTCCAACACTGATATGAAACTAGAATGTTGTCGACTAAAATGAAGGATCTAACGAATTATCAGCTATAAATTTTTTACTCCGCCATAGCTTTGAGCTTCATTTCTCTCTGTTAAAAGGTTCTAACCTACCATGCTTAAAAATTGGCCGACTTATTCTTTAATGAACAGCGGTGAGCCAGAACTCCGTAACAAAATGGCGGAGAAAGAGGAAGAGGAGACACGTGGTGTTGATTTATACCGCCGGTGCGTCAAGAATCCTGGGTATTCACCCCACTACCTCTCAGCCTATTGCCACAAATAAAAATGGCGGAAAAGCTTCTCTGGTTGCTATGTCCAACATAATAGTTATATTACCGCATTCATTAGTTGCTGCGATTTTGAAGAGGATGACACGCAGTGTGAAAGATTTGCGAGAACTCATCAACGTCTCCCGATTGTCATATCGCGATGATGATGAGGAAGAGGAATTGTATTACAGCAGTAGTCCAGAATCACTCCAAGATTTTGGTAATATTCCACTCGAAGTCTCGCAGCCTGTTCTTCCAAAGAGAAATAAGGATTTGGAACCCTTATTTATGAAAGGAAAGCCTGGGAGTCCTCCATTAAGCCCTGGATCTTCAGGTAGAGGGTCGCCATTACCGCCGATTGGTGCCTCGTCAAGTGCGAGCCCATCTTCTTCCGGGCAGAATTCACCAACAGCTCGCTCCCAAGATGCAAGCGTCGATTGTGGGGCCCGAAAGAAGGATACTAAACGACAGAAACCTAATTTTGACTCTGTCCTTCTTTACATGGACGCCACTGTAGTCAGTGATTGGCTAACAAGAGCGAACACTTCAATTAATCAACTAACCTCGTGGCTGCATTTTAGTGACAATTTTATTCAATTTGCCCACTTTTGGCTGTCTGAAATGCCAAGATCAAAACAAAGGGAGCTAATAGAAATGGAGTTCACCATTTCACTGGAGGAAATCAAATTTGCTTTTGGAGCTGGCTTGGAAGGTGGATCTGTTTCAACTCAAGATATTGATTCCTTTGCCAGATCTGTGTTTTGGGAATACCCAGAAAAGTTTCATAACTCGGAGACTAAGGACTTTTTCCTCAAAATTTTATTATGTTTGTGTTCTGGAAAGAAAAACACTTACCGTGCCCTTCTCTCGGATGTTCAGTGTTCAACATCCAACAAGCAGTATGTGCAACTCATATTAGCAACAAGAGCATTTGCAGTTGTGAACATATGCTCAGGTGTGCTGGAATTTTACAAGCAGGCTTTTAGTAGAAGTAGCTACGAAGATGTTGCAGAAAATTTGCTTGTCAGTAAAAATCTTGCTACTATAGCAACTGAATTTGCATTCCAATCTGTGCGGAAAGACCTTCCAGATGTCCTTGATTATTTATTGCGGAATTATGGTTTACAACATAATACCCTTAAAGACAGCAGTGGTAAAAGCCTTGTTTTTGTATCTGTTCTCAGTGGCAAAGAAAACATCCTGAGTTATCTACTGAAGGTAGTAAAGTGTTGAGTGTATTGTTATTGCTGATATTTCAAATACAACGAATGTATGAAATTCATATATCTGAACTGCAGTTATAGAAACATACTTGTGCACGATCCTCGCAGTAAAGAGCACTATTTAAGCAACAGTGAAAAACAGACCTGGATCATGCACAAATACGTTTCTATAACTGCAGTTCAGATATATGAATTTCATATATTCATTGTGTTTGATTTATCATCTTACGGGTTTATGTCAGACTAACTTGATGACCTGCTCCCAGTTGGCTTGTTAGCTCAATTGGTAGAGCGCTGCACTAGTATCGCAGAGGTCAGTGGTTCGAATCCCGTACAGGCCTGAAATTTTTTCAGCTCTGATTTTCACTATTGCTTAAATAGTGCTCGTTACTGCGAGGATCATGCACAAATATATTGCTGATATTGTTGTAATGGCTCACATTGATCATTGCGAAAGCATTCCGGAGAGAAGCATGTTAGGAAATAGATGTGTTTGTTGTTGCAGCTAGCTTTTTTAGATTTACAAGGTTGCAAGAGAGGATGTGTCTAGATCAAACAAGCGCTGTCAAGGAGAGAGTATTCAAAAAGAGGAAGGAACATACTGTCAAAGCCAGGGAGGGTTGGTATATTGTAATTTAAAGAGAGGAGGGGGGAGGAGAGAAACCTAGGCCTGACTGGTCATCTTGTCCTGTTAGGTTGAAACCACAAGACTTCACCTTGAATATAAAGACACAGAAATCAGGCTGGCAATTAAAAATTCACTTATCTGTCTTTCTAACCTTGGATTTCAAATTTTATTTTTGTGTTTTGTATTTGAAAGCTGAATCCAAGAGTGGATATCAATGAAAAGGCACCTTCTGGGAACACCCCCCTTCATGCCGCAGTGAATACAGGTAATATCACCATGGTGAAATTGTTGATTGATACTGGGGCAGATGTCAATGCTTGGAATCCTGAATGTGAAGGAGCAACACCACTTCACCTTGCCATAATGAGTGGTAAGTACAGTTAGTTAATAGGGACTTTATGCAGTCAAGACAGCAACGCCACAGAAGATGTCGATTAAAAAATGAGTTTCTACTTTTAGTTAGAATTTCGAAAATGGCTGCATGTGTTTACCGTCTCATAGGGAGCCAGACCTCAAACTCAACATAACGCATAAAAGTAGTGTTGAGTGCCATTTGCCACTGCGGTTTTGGTTTGCAGACGACGCAAATTTTGGTGATTTCACGTTGTTGTTTTGCAAAGGACGGCTTAGAAACGTACAAAGTTTTAAAACGCACGTGCTGGGCTATTGTTCTGCCAATTAGATCTATTGTTTTTCCACATTCTCGTTGCCATAGCTGTCGTGGTTTCCTTAAAGTCCCTATTCTATCATCAGAAGAATGCAAAAATTAGCCAGCTTCAGAGAGACTGAAAACTAAGTTCTCAAGTAGCCCTCATTCTACTTTGTTTTTTTTGTATTTTCATGGGAGGGGAGAGCGAGGCTTAATTACCAACTGCTGTTTAGGAAATGAGATCCCCCCTCCCTCACAGGAGAATATCTCAGAAACATCAAAGACCACATCCAATAAAATGGTGGAAATTGAGCCAAGGGCAGGGCATCAGTCACATGTGCACCAATGGAACCAGTCAAGTTGTTTAGTGAAATCCAATTTTGCTCAGACACAACCCATTTTTGGTCTAAAAAAAAACCTCATATCTCAATAAATCCCCCCCCCTCCACCCCATGTGTAAACTAGAGGAAAAAATGTTGAGCCATTCAAAGAGTTGACTAGAAAAATGTTATAGTTGATGGGACGTCCATTGACTGGCTATTACTTTGAGTCCTGTGCTGCAGTGTCACTTTAAAATGAGTTAGCCTCTCTCTAGCTGCTCACCCAAAAAATACCAACCCCTCCCCCCCAAAAAAAATGTTATAGTTGACGGGACGTCCATTGACTGGCTATTACTTTGAGTCCTGTGCTGCAGTGTCACTTTAAAATAAGTTAGCCTCTCTCTAGCTGCTCGCCCAAAAAATACCAACCCCTCCCTCCCCCCAAAAAAATGTTATAGTTGATGAGACGTCCATTGACTGGCTATTACTTTGAGTCTTGTGCTGCAGTGTCACTTTAAAATGAGTTAGCCTCTCTCTAGCTGCTCACCCAAAAATACCAACCCCTCCCCCCCCAAAAAAAATGTTATAGTTGATGGGACGTCCATTGACTGGCTATTACTTTGAGTCCTGTGCTGCAGTGTCACTTTAAAATGAGTTAGCCTCTCTCTAGCTGCTCACCCAAAAAATACCAACCCCTCCCCCCCCAAAAAAAATGTTATAGTTGA